CGTTTGATGTTGAGTGCGTATTGACTTGTCTTACTGTTTCTTGTTTTCGCAGCTACACACGTCGATACTTTCGAGATCGTAGCTGTTAAGATCGTAAGTTTCAATTCATTAGCTCTGCTACGATTTGGTTGCAGATCTGTTCTGTTTTAACTTTTAAATCCGTGTGAATCGATATTCCTCTGAATTGAGTAGCTTAAAGCTCCTTGAAATGGCGATGTATACTTCGTCTAGCTGCCGATTGTCTTTAACCTTGTCATTTCGATTTGTTTTGTCAGGAGAACAGTAAAACAAAGCATCCTCAACTTCTCTATGAAGCCAAGCTATATAGAATTCTTGAAGGAGGAAGTATGCTTCTCATTTTCTATCTTTTTCTCATTCTCTACTTGCTGGGGTTGCTTTGGACATTGGAGGGATTTAGCATTACAATGCTTTAGTGAACTTAGACTATTACATTACATATACTAATTTTGAGCTATGTGTTTGTCGTCGGCAGGTGGGATTCCGCGCATAAGATGGTTTGGAGTCGATGGAACAGAGAATGCTCTAGTCATGGATTTACTAGGACCAAGTCTTGAAGATCTATTTGTGTATTGTGGGAGGAAGTTCTCACCAAAGACGGTTTTGCTGTTGGCTGACCAAATGGTATGGATTTTCTAGGGTTAACTCTTGTTGTTGATGCTAATGCTATATGCATACTAAGCACTTAACTTGACTGATACATTGATCATCTTATGTTCCACTGCTACAGCTGACAAGAATTGAGTATGTACACTCCAAAGGATATCTTCATAGAGATATAAAACCCGATAACTTCCTCATGGGCCTAGGCCGGAAAGCAAATCAGGTAAATTTCTGCAATTTCTTGTCTGCATCGGAAATTTTGAAAAGGAAATGATAAGTTTTAGTCATCAGGTTTATATAATCGACTTCGGACTTGCCAAAAGATATCGTGATGCCAACACCAACCGCCACATCCCTTACAGGTACGTGTGACCTTGGTTCATCTTCTACCTTGTGATCCATCTGCCGATAGTAAATCTTGTTTTTAAGTTCACAGTATACAACTTATTGCCTTTATACTGTTACATTCAGGGAAAATAAGAATTTAACAGGAACTGCACGGTATGCAAGTTGCAATACACATCTTGGAATTGGTAAGGAACGCTGCCATTTTTTCTCCTTATGTGAAGTAGATCGTCTACGCTCTTATTTTAGTTTATCTTTCACAGAGCAAAGTCGACGGGATGACCTAGAATCGCTTGGATATGTGCTTCTGTATTTCCTAAGAGGAAGGTATGCTTGTTATTTCACCTTATAAGAAACTAGCTGACATTGTGTATTGCTTGTTTTTTAATGGTTTGCAACCTTTTTCGTTCTTACGTTGTGTCTTGTTTTCATGAACCTCTTTTTCTAGTCTTCCATGGCAGGGTCTTAAGGCCGTGGACAAGAAACAAAAATATGACAAAATTTGTGAGAAGAAGATTTCAACTCCGATTGAGGTCTGTTTCCCTCTAGTCCGGTGGATTTTTCTTTTGTCAATCCTCATTCGACTAAATTTTCATACCCCTTCCATTGCAGGTTTTATGCAAAAGTCACCCTGTGGAGTTTGCTTCATATTTTCATTACTGCCACACGCTGACATTTGATCAGCGCCCTGATTATGGATTTTTGAAGCGACTTTTTCGTGATTTGTTCTCACGGGAAGGTAAAAAGACATCCCTCCATCATCTTCATAGCTGATAGGATCACCAGCATGCGTTACCTACCTCCCTCAATGAACGGTTTTCTTCTATGCAGGATATGAGTTCGACTATATATTTGACTGGACTATAATAAAGTATCAACAAGCACAGAAAACTAGAAATCAGTCTCAGGTATAGTTTATAAATCTAGTTTTTCTCCGTCTTAAGTATATACATAGTCTTGTTCAGTATAAGAGAAGGTTCCTTAACAATAAGTTTTGCTGCTTTGCCACATTTCGTGTTACTTTTCTAACAAGAATATGCCATTTGTACTGCAGGCTATTCCTGGGTCTAGCAATACTCGTGCAGTGCCAATGGACACAAACAATCATCGGGGTTAGCTCTAGTTAGCATGTTATGTTTGTTGTCACAGTTGTTTATTTCAAAATCTCTGATTTATTGATGTTCTGTTTGGCAGGGGGGCCAAATATGTCTTATGAAGCCGAGGCCTCTGAGCGTGTCAGATCAGGCAATGCTATTGGTCCAAGCCCACAGATAAATAATAATACCGCTACAGGGAAGAATCTGGGTTTTGATTACCCCGTCCACAAGAATGTACGTACTCATGCATTTGCGTCTTCCAAATAACTGTTGTATTCTGCAACTATTCATGGTTTTCTGAAAAAAAGCTGTAACTCGTTTTGCATTGTCTATATTCATGTACCATTGAATTATTCAAACATGATATTGATCTTCGCAATGAGTGTTCCTGATCGTTCTCCTGCTGAAAACCCATTGCAGATGAACATGCCATCCACTTCACTTTCTCCTGCGGGTACCTCGAAAAGAAATGTCGGAAAGCAAGGTGTCCTCCCCGAAACCTCAAATTCTAGATTCGAGAGTGGGAATAGAACCGGTGGCTGGACTTCCTCATACATGTCTCCAGAGAAATGATGCAAAGAAACTGTAGTTATTTGTTCTGAAATGGTGAGGGAGATTATGCGTTATTAATGTGAGTCATGCCTTTTGGGAGATACAAAGGTGTGAGTGACACCAAGTTCTGATTTCTGCTGTAGTTGCAGAGGGTGCAACCTTTGGCTGCAATGGTTGTATGTATATTTCTCTGAGGTGTGTAGACAAAGGAGTTCGATCGTTGAAGCTTGGAGTTTCTCCATGAACAACATTTGTGTTTACACACACAAAGGGCATGAAGTGTATGTTTGCTTTTCATTCAGATTTCCCCAACCTTTTGTATAATTTCTTACACCAGATTTGTAATCTTGTTATGTGATCCATAGTTATCATTTTTTAGATACTTTGTGCTCAAGTACCTTGAGTGGGCACAACCTTGTGCTTCTGCTTGATATAATGTATATATTGAATGTTAATGGACAGTAACATTCTTTGCAGAAATCTAGAGCCAAGCTTGAGCTGACATGCCTTCAAGGAGAGAGAGGACAAGTTTGGTTCTTTTTAAAAAGATTTCTCAGGAAAGATGTTGAGAGACGGTATTGGGATTTAAGAACTCAGAGATATCGACTGAGCAGTTTAATCTGGAAATGAAGCAACTGTAAAGATCGAATCTTTGTATTGGTTTTGGCACAATCTGCCTTTGTTTCCGCGGTATCAGACAGCTGGTCTGTTTCGCTCCGTCGGGAAATCATCATCACTATTATCATCCAAGTAAATAGGTAGGTGTGGATTGTATCTGCAGCTTCAGTGGAAATATTTGTCTTATTGTAGAGAGAAAATCCAGTTGTGTAACGAAAATTTGTTTGTGTTTATGTTTCCTTCATGATGATTTTTTTGTAGATTTTGAAATTCGTAAAACAAAAATGTAAAGTTTGAAATATGTTTAAAAGATATATTCATACTTTTTTTGTATAAGTCAAAAATAATCTAGACCGAACCACCAAAATTAGAAACCAAAATAAATTTAAATTGAAAGATATATTTAACAAAATTTTGAATCAAGCTATATTAAATTACTTTTTGACATTGTATTGAAAATTTTGAAAAATCCGATACCAACTCCAAACGAGATATTGAACACTTCTACACTTATTCCCAGTGTTCTAAAAAGCGTTCTATGCGTTCGTCTAGGCAGCGTTGAGCCCCTATAGACCGTGGCGATTACCGCTTTTGCCGCCTAAAATATTATAGTACTAGTATTAAGGCCCGTGCGTATGCACGGACATAGGTTAAATGTGAATTCAAAATTACAATATCATACTCGCAATTGTTAGATAATGTAAAGTTGTTTTCGCCATAAGTTCAAAGTATAGTATTGTATAGATAAGCTCAAAGCTTATTTTGCCAACACAGTAGCCACATGTAATTGGATTTTATATACAACACTCCATCGCCTTGTCAATTGATGTCATAATCGCGAGTTCTTCAAGCTAACTTAAGCCAGACTGTAGAATCTCACCAAGTTTGGGTTTTTTCTATGAATACATCAGAGCTCATGATCTTGGTGTTTGTTGCAGGTGAAGAAGCAGAGACTTTAGTCGAATGACCAAGAACTTCAGCTCCTGATCAGAGTTCCTGACATTAAACCATGTTTTCGAGACTCATAAGAGAGAACTTTCCTCTGTATAAGGCATGCTGAATGACCAAGAACTTCATCTCGATGAGCATCCAATTCTGCCATTTGACCTGCCCTTAGAAACACCTTCGTCTTCCCAATCTACGAGTCAAGAAAATTGTTAATAATGATATTTGTAGCAGAAAAAGAAAGCTAGAATAAATCTTGAGCAGTGTGACCAAGTAACATTCAAATGTGGAAGTTCCAGAATCCTTAAGTTCTAAGTTCTATTTAGTAAATCAAAATGTAAGAAACAAAGTAGAAAACGCAAGATAAGATTATGAAGCTGCACCTGAAAACCTTTGAGGTCCACTTTTGCGAGTAGCTTTTTGCAAGCGCCAAGTTCGTCATAGCTGTTAACAGTCCACAACCAAAAAAGTGTTTCACTGATTCTAATATCTTAAATCCCATTCCAACTGAACTAAGAAAATATTATAAAATGTGAAGTGTTGGTGAAGCTACCTTCTCTTTTGTAGTAACCGGAGCTAAAATTTTGATCCGGGTCAAAAATTCATTGAAAGGCTTCCCTAGTACAACTGATTCTAATGGCTTCCATGACTCCCTGAGATCAGATACAGGAAGTTTCACAACATGATTCGAAAGCAGAATAATTAATATAGTTAGACAATTGAAAGCATATGGTTCTCTGAAACGGCAAAAGCATACCCCACACCTAAGTTGATGCAGAATATTAATGTTGTCAAATATTTCTGGCTTAAAAAGGTTATTTGGTTTCATACATGGTATGTAGTGTGGCTCCATGGTGCTCAAACTCTCCAGCAAAGATTGCAGTTGATGGAGTACATGGTGAGAATTAAAGTAGATATTATAAGCATGATCGATTGTAATTAAACATTACTTGAGACCTTAAACTGAGAACCTAGTGATGAGAACTTTGATGTTTTGGAAGATTCCATGTTGCAGCAATGAGATCAAATGATTGCTTCTCTATACCACGCTTTTCCTGCAAAATTGAAATTCTGCTGAGATGAGTGAGAGCAAGCAATATCATAGCCTTAAATGCAAAGAGACTTGAATCCTAAGAATAGTACAAAACCATACAAAGCGTATCAGTTTCCATAGAAGAAATATGAAAAACACTCACTGACCTTTGAAGAAAGATGGAATCGTGATGCAAGTCACTCGAGATACTATCCCTCTTGTTTTGGCACATTGACAGTAATAAACCAAATATCTTTGATTAGATATTGGTTAGGAAAAGCTGAGATTAAAATCTGATTCTGAAAACCCCGAAGAGATTACCTTTTCTGCGATATTAGGAGGTCGTTTGATGAAAAACTTTGATTGTGCATAGGCGATATGACCTAGTAAGATTCGTCGGAGAGATTGGTTTTTTTTTTAGTCGGAGAGAAATTGCAGAAAAAGAATTAGGTAAGGAACTAATGTTGTTTCATTGTTGAACAAGGAAGGGATAATGGAAGATCTAGAGATGTGGGAGGTTCTCTCTGAAATTGCGGGGAAGAAGAGATCGTGGGTTCTTTTTTTTTATAAAAATTTCAG